AGGGAGGGAGGGAGAGATGCATGGAGGGAGGTATTGATGGAAGAATGGAGGGATAGATGTAGGGATGTAGGGAAGGAAGGATGGAGGGATGGAAGGATGGATGGATGGATGGAGGAAGGGATGGCTCAGCATGGGAAATTCGTGCTGGATGTGAGTGTGAGAGACTCCAATATAAAGGAAACACACACACAACACATGAACAGCGAAGGGTGTGTGTGATTCTCATCATTTGGAAAATGTTGACATTCTCCCCCCAATTGCCAGCATTCCTTCACACTCCTGTGCGAATTGGTATGGGTCAAAGAGCCAGTGTGGTGTAGTGGTTTGAACGCTGGACTTCGACTCTGGAGAGCAGGGTTGGATCCCCAGCTCAGCTATCAAACCCAGTGGGCGACCTTGGGCGAGTCACACTCTCTCAGCCTCAGGGGAAGGCCATGGCCAACCCCCTCTGAACAACTCTTGCCAAGAAAACCCTAGGATAGGGTTGCCTGAGGCCTAGGGTCGCCGTAAGTCGGAAAGGACTTGCAGGCACACAAGGACAACCATGGTTCAAGCCTTCCCATTCACCAAATTTGGGACCCTCTCCCTCTAAGTACATGTTCCTGCCTGAAACAGGGTCCAGCAACTGCTTTGGCATTGTCAGTATTCTCCCCTCTGAATGTCAGCAGTTCATCAATTCTTTTGGACAATCAGTGTAGCCTAGGGGTGCTTTGGGTTTTTGTTTTTCATATATATATATATATATATATACACACACACACACATAACACCATCAGTGTCACACAGCTGATGCTGTTAGTTGCCAGCAACTCTTGTTAATTAAAAATGTTCATAATAGCAATCACACACACAGAGAGAACTCGACTTTATTTTTAATCAAAATGTTGATAAACTACCCTTCAGCCCACAGGGCTTCCAGGGTGAGGAACAGCAAATTAAAAGAGAAAAATGATTTAAAATAGAGCAGTCTGCAATATCCCCGAGAGAGCAATCAATTATTAATTATTAACAATCAATAATTTTAAAACAAGAACAAAACCTAAACAGGATAAAAACATTTTTACTAGCTGCCCAAAAACTAGCAGGAAAAAGGGCACTAGTCTAACTACCCTGGAAAGGGAATCCCACCATCCAGGTGCTGTCTCTGAAAAAGCCCTGTCCTTTGCTCTCATTGACTTATAACTTCTTTTGGTAACAGCAATTAAGAATTGTGCATAAGAGGAATGATCCTATATTGGTACAAAAGCAGCTCTAATCACCATCATCATCATCACCATCATCATCTTTCATACCAATATAGAATCAGTCCTGTTACATACAATTTAATAATAATAATAATAATAATAATAATAATAATAATAATAATAAAGACAACAATAATAACAACAATAATAAATTGTCCTCTTATGTACAATTTAACAACAACAATAGTGGGGAAGAGACTTTAGCATACCCTGCTGTTGTTATAAATCTCTCAGCACATGACAAATCCCAGGATATCATAAGATGGAGCCACAGCAGTTCAAATGGTATGGAACTGTTATAACTATGTGGTGCAGACCCACTCCTGAAAAGTGGAAGGGAATTTAGCCATTCTCTTCCCTGGAGATAATGATGATCTGATACAGGTATACTTCAGTAGCCTCTAACCTCTGTCAAAACCCTCTACCACAAAACAGTTACCATAAAGCCTCTAACAAAGAAGCTCTTTTTTACAAAATCGTTTTATACCTGTCCAGCCTCACCCTTTCTTTGTTGTCCTGTGCCTAGCTGGAAGGTTTTTTTTTAGCAGCATTAGCACTGGGAGGATGGTGAAGGAGGACTGTAGAAATACAGATTTTCAGTATTGAGTTGGAGCAGTGTGTCTGCTGTGAATGATGCAATAACATTCATCTATAAATGGGAAATACCTAGGAAAGCATGGTATTCTAGTCCAGCTGATCCTACTGTAGCTGTGTGTCCCTGCCTACAACAGGCAAGATAAACAGCTGCTGCCTCACTGAGTATGTATGAACAGCAAAAAACAGAGGGAGAGAAGAAATAAGCCTGCCAGACAAGATACTTCCAGCATATTAAAATAAACAAAAAAACCCAAAATAGATCTATAATAATAATAATAATAATAATAATAATAAATTTTATTTTTATACCACCCATTGGTAGTCCAATCCGGGCGGTTTACAGCATAGAAATTAGCATAAGTCTGGGGATGCAAATGGATATCATAAGAAAAATGGATGCTGGTGAAAGAAAGAAAAATCTTCCTTGGGTGTATTTTTGGAAGAAACTTTGAAAGTTTGAAATATTTTTGTTTTGTTATCTGACCTCAAGTAAAGTTTTTTTTAAATTTCAGATGTGCATATTGTTAAATTAAATAAAAAGTTTGTTGAAACATGTTAAACTGCTTCCCTTTTTTGTGGCATGGAATCTATCTCTATTCTTGTGATGTTATTTCTGTCTCTGGTGCCAATTTTTTTTTGTTCAAGAAGTCATGCCCAGGAACACATCTACTTCAGAGACAGAGCTGTGTTAGTGTGAAATATCAGTATGCAAAGGGATCTTTTATCACCTTTGAGACTAACTGTGCAAAAGAAGTTGTATAGTAAGCTTTTATAGAATCTACTGCCTCAGATGCTTATGCTATAACTTCTTTCACACAGTTAGCCTCAAATGTGCTACAAAATACCTTTGTATAGTGAAGTATAAAGGTAAAGGTATTCCCCGTTGGCAAGGTTGTCAAGTATACTTGTACTGTAATATTTTTGGAAACATAAGAAACCTGGTAACCAAATGTGGTTTTGGACTGGGTAGTCTGTTTGCTTGATTTTGGTTTGTGGATAGGGTTACTATTTGTCCTGGAAAACCCTGGATTGAAGGGACTAAAAAATGTCCTGGACCAGTTGAAGCACTTTGAAACATAATGATAGACAAAATGCAATGATTAATGTGTTGAATTTGCCCAGTCAGAATGCAAAAAAATGATATGCATAATTATATTAATTTGCATAATATGAAAAGTAGATCCCAGGATACAAAGGACTGGAATATGGCAACCTTAGGTGTGGAGGAAGTCAAGGTGAGAAGAAGCTGGAAGATAACCCCCCTGAATTCTCTTGACAGATGTAGTGGGAAACTACAGAACAAATCATGGGAAAGGGAAAGGTATTCTCCATTGACAAGGCTGTCATTCTGACTGTAGGGGACGGTGCTCACCTCCATTACTAAGCCGAAGACCCAGCATTGTCAGAGATTACTCTGTGATCATATGGCCAGCATGATTGCACAGAACACTGTTTACCTTTCCACTGAGAAGTGGTACCTCTTTATCTAATTGCATTTGCATGCTTTCAAACTGCTAGGTTGGCAGAAGCTGGGACTAGTGACAGGAGCTCACCCCATCATGCAGCACCTGGGCCTCGAACTGCCAACCTGCCAATCTTGCAATCAACAGAATCAGCGTCTTAACCACTTGAGCCACTGCATCCAACAGTGGTGTTATTATGGTTAGTGACATCCGGGGGGGGGGGGCAGTGGCAGGGGAGGGAACAGCCTGCCATGCCCTCCCTCCCTCCCTCCCACTGTCTCACTAGTCTGCCCCCCAGCTGCCTGGCCACCACCCAGCCAGACTGCTGCTGGGGGGGAGGTCTTTCTGTTAAGGGTGTGGTGTGGTTGCTTGGGCAGACAGCCACGCCAGATCCTCAATGAAAGGCATTGCCCCCTAGCAGCAGCAGCTGCTGCTGCTGCTGTTGCTGCTGGGGATGGTCCTGAGGCTTCTGGATGGTCTGTTCAGGGTCTTTCTGGGCAAGTGAGAGTAGTCTGATCCCATCTTGCTCGTCTAGCAGCTGTGGTATTCCCACCAGGTGTACTGCCCCGCTAGGCATACACACCATTCTGAGGTGTCACCTGGTGCAGTCCACACTCCCTGCACCCTCCTATTGAAATCCTGCATGGAAATAGAAGAACCAGAACCAGACATCTAACTCATGGAAGAATAGGCGATCAATGGCCTTAGGGGCCACAGGCAGTAGCCTCCTTGTAAATATAATAGCCTTCTGCAAGGTATAGATCTCTGGCAAGAGCAAGTTGCATCTCCACTGGTAGCCCATCAGAGATGGAGGGAGGGAGAAGGTAGTAGTCTACTCATTTTTGGCTCTAACCTTACTATCTCCTGGCTTCAGTCCCACCTGCTACTATCTATCAGTCAGGGCTGGCCACCTGGGGCAAAGGTCATAGCAACTTCTCTTTCCAAAAGCATATTTGCACTACATAATAACAACAGTTTGATACCAACTTAACTGTCATTGCTTCAGAATTCTGGGGTTTGTAGTTTGTTGAGGTATGTAGAATTTCCTGCTAGGAAACACTAGTGCTATAGTTCAGGAGAGTTCACTAGATCTTTCTGACTAGGGCAGAACATGGCAACCCATCTCTTCAAGAGTGTTATCTGCACTACACAGTTAGACCAAACTGATGCCACCTCAGCCTATGAAACTGTGGCATTTATAGTTTGGTAAGGTACCCAGAATTCTCTGCTAGAGAGCTCTGACTTCCCCAGATTACAGCAAAGAATTCTAAGTACTTCACAAAATGACAAATCTCAGCATTCTGTAGGATGGAGCTGTAATAATCAAGATGGATCAAACTGTTCTAACTTTAGATATACCAAAAGTTATAGTGTCCAAAGGCAATACAAGTTATTTCATCACCTCAGGCAGAAAACCTAACAAGTGTCTCTCCCTAATAGAAAAATAAACCAAAGATAAGAAATCCAACACAATTTTCTTCCTTTTTATTATGCTCAAAATATATTGCCTGAAGCAGTACCTCACCCCATATAATCAGAAGGCCAAGCTTGTCAGCTAACCGAATTCTCATGAGGGAATGTGATCCTCAGCAGAAAAAGAGTTCTCCATTGATTTAGTCCAACACTAATAGCTGTATCCTGCTGTTGGCTCCTCTGTCCACCTGGTATTCAGTGACACACTCCTACTCAATTTTCCATTTTCACTGTTGACAAGCCTCCATGTTGTTATTGTTGTTGTGTACCTTTAAGTATTCCAACTTATGGCAACCCTAAGATGTACCTATCACAGGGTTTACTTGGCAAAGTTTGTTCAGAGGAAGTTTACCTGTCCCTGAGGCTGAGAGAGTGTGACTTGACCAAGGGCACACCCATGGGTTTCATGGCTCCATACATTTGCCTAATTCCCTTTTAAAGTCAGGCATGGAAGTCACTGGGAGGGACAGCCCCACTTATCTTGACTGTGGTAGGGAATCAGAACTCTTGGATTCTTTCTTGGGGAGAAAAATGTGATCTAGAAGAAGGATTATTGGATTATGCCAGAGGAAACAGACCTCTCTAGTGGGTTGCAGCAGT